ATGTAGTAGACTCGCCAACTTTAAGGGCATTTAAATGGTCATTGGATAAATATATGGATGATAATGCAATAGTTTAGGTTAGATGGGCTTCAGATTGGTTTCACAGGTCGGCGCAACATCGAGGGCCGAAGGGCCTGTACTGCGCTGTAATGTTCTATGTTCTACCTCCCCACCTACACTCACCTTTACTGGCTCCATCCCCGCCTCCTTGACCTGTCTGTTTCCTCTCCACCTATCTTCTCCGCTATCCATCTTCTATCCGCCTCCCCCTCTCTCCCTATTTATTTCAGAACCCCCTTCCCCTCCCCCATTTCTGATGAAGGGTCTCGGCCCGAAACGTCAGCCTTCCTGCTCCTAGGCCTGCTGTGTTCATCCAGTTCTACACCTTGTTATACCATTTGCCTTTTTTACCGCCTGCTGCTCCTGCATGCTTGCCTTCAGCAACTGGTGCACAAGGACATCCAGATCCCACTGCACACTCCCCTCTCTCAATTTACAGCCACTCAGGTAGTAATCTGCCTTCTTGTTTTTGCTTCCGAAGTGAATAACCTAACATTTATCCAAATTATACTGCATCTGCTATTGATTTGCCCTCTCACCCAACCTGTTGAGATCAATCTGAAGGATCACTGCATCCTTGTCACAGTTCACCACCAACACCCCCACCCAACTTGGTATCATTTGCAAACTTGGAGATGTTACACTTTGTTCCCTCATCCAAATCATTATTATATATTGTGAATAGCTGGGGTACTAGGACCGGTCCCTGTGGCACCCCAGTAGTTACTGCCTGCCAATTTGAAAAGGACACATTAATTCCTACTTTTTGTTTCCGCTCTGCGAACCAGGTTCCTATCCATTTCAATACACTTTCCCCAATCCCATGCGCTTTAATCTTGCACGTTAATCTCTTATGTGGGACTTCTGTCAAACGCTTTCTGGAAGTCCAAATATACAGCAACTGGGTCTCCCTTATCAGCTCTACTAGTTACGTCTTCATAGAATTCCAACAGATTTATCAAGCATGATTTCCCCTTCATAAATCCATGCTGCCTTTGTCTGATCCTGCCAGTGCTTTCTAAATGCTTTGCTGTAAAATCCTTGACAATGGATTCGAGAATTTTCCTCACTGCTGATGTTAGGCTCACCAGTCTACAATTCCCTATTTTCTCTCTACCTTCCTTTTTGAATATTGGAGTGACATTAGCTACCCTCCAATCTGCAGGGACGGTTCCAGAGTCTGTAGAATCCTGGAAGCTGACCACCAATGAATCCATTATTTCTGGAGCTACTTCCTTAAGTACTCTGGGATGCAGATCATCAAGACCTGGGGATTTATTGGCCTTCAATTCCAACAATTTTCCCAGCATCAACTCTCTACTAATATTGGAGGAACACAGCAGGCCAGGCAGCATCTGGAGGAAAGGAGCAGTCAAAGTTTCAGGTATTACCCTTCTTCAGGACAGACAGGAAACAAAGTAGGAGTTTTCAAATTGGCAGTCCTGAAGAAGGGTAATATCCAAAACGTTGACTGCTCCTTTCCTCCAGATGTTCCTTGGCCTGCTGTGTTCTTCCAGCCTCCTGTTTGTCTACTTTGCATTCCAGCATCTGCAGTTTTTTTGTCTCTACTAATATTGATCTCCCCCAGTTCTTCGCTCTCATTAAATCTTGCATCCTCCAACAATTCCAGTATCTGATTTGAGTCCTCTTTTATGAAGACAGAACAGAAGTATGTATTCACTTCCTCAGCCATTTCTTTGCCCCCTATCATACATTCCCTCATTTCTGTCTGTAGGGGACCTACATTTGTCTTTGCCAATCTCTTTCTCTTCACGTACCTATAGAAAGTCTTAGCGTCAGTCTTTATGTTCCCTGCAAACTTACTTCCATATTCTATTTTCCCCTTCTTAATCAATCCCTCGGTCCTTCTTTGCCGAATTCCAAACTGCTCCCAATCCACAGATTTATTATTTTTCTTGGCCAATCTGTATGTTTCTTCCTTGGATCCAATACTATCTCTTATTTCCTTTGTAAGCCATGGATTGGCCCTCTTACCCATTTTGCTTTTGCAACAGACAGGAATAAACAGTTGTTGCAGTTGCCCCATGCGTTCCTTGAATGTTTGCCATTGCCTATCCACGATTATCCCTTTAAGTAACTCTCCCCAATCAATCAAGGCCAACTCACGCCTCATAACCTTGCAGTTTCCTTTATCAAGGTTCAGCACCCTAGTGTCTGAATCAACAACCTCACTCTCCACTGATAAAAAAAATTCTATCATGTTATGGTCGCTCTTCCCCAAGGGATCTCGCACAGCTAGATTGGCAATGATTCCCTTCTCATTACACAGCACCCTGTCTAAGATGGCCTGCTCTCTAGTTGGTTCCTCCACATATTGGTCGAGAAAACCATCCTCTATACACTCCAGGAATTCCTCCTCTACGGCATGGTGGCTAATTTGATTTACCCAATCTATATGCAGATTAAAATCACCCATGATATTCCTTCAATACTGAAGTAGCCAATGTGCAAATGCAACAAGATCTGGGCAAATTCTAGGCTGGGCTGACAAGTGGCAAGTAACATTCATGCCACACAAATTCTAAGCAATGACCATCTCTAATAAGAAACAATTTATCCACCATCCCTAGACATTCAACCATCACTGAATCATCCACTATCAACATCCTGTGGGTTACCATTGACCACGAAATCAACTGGATTTGCCACATAAACAGTGGCTGCAAGAGTACATCAGAGGCTAGGAATACTGTAGCAAGGAACTCACCTCCTGACTCCCCAAAACCTGTCCACCATCTACAAGGCACAAGTCGGGGTGTGATGGAATATTTCAAGGGGCTTGACACCATCCAGGACAAAGTAGCCACAAGCATCCATTCCCTCCAACACTGACGCAGTAGTGATGCACTGAGATGCACTGCAGACTTTCACCAAAGATCTTAAGGCAGCAACTTCTAAACCCTCAACCACATTCATTTAGAAGGACCAGGACAACAGATACATAAGAACAGCATCACCTGCAAGATCCCCACCAAGCCACTCACCATCCTGACTTGAAAATATATTGTCATTCCTTTACAACGCAGGGTCAAAATCCTGGAATTCCCTCCCTAACTGCATTGTGTGTCAACTTACAGCATGCGGGCTGCAGTGATTCAAGAAGACAAGTCACCGCCATCTTCTAAAGGGCAAGTAGGGAACGGCAATAAATGCTGGTCTGCCAGCAATGCCCATTTCCCGCCAGTGATTTAAAGAAAAATTACCATTCCCCATGATCAACATTGTTGACGTTACCATTGACCAGAAACTAAACTGGACTAGTTATACAAATACTATGGCTACGAGAGTAGGTCAGCAGTTAGGAGCAGATTAAGTAACTTTCATCTTCACTCCCCAAAGCCGCTCCACCATCTACACAACACAAGTCAAGAGCATGATGGAACACTACCCATTCGCGTGGATGAGTGTTTTTTCCAACAACGCTCAGAACGTTTGACAATGTTCTGGAAAAAGCAGCCTGCTTGACTTGCACCATATCAGAAAACATTTACTCCCTCCAACACCAACGCTCAACAGCAGCAATATGTACCATTTACAAGATGCACTGCAGAAATTCACCCAAGCTCCTTACACACCTCTAGCCACCACTCCCTAAAAAGACAAGGGCAGCAGATACATGGAAACACAGCCACCTGCAAGTTTTCCTCCAAGCCATTCATCATCCTGACTTGTAGAAATACATGATCTCAACCCAGCAAAAAAAAAGTAACTCCTTCCCTAACAGCAATATGGATGTACCTAGATCAAATGGATTGCAGCAGGATAAGAAGGCAGCTCACCACCATGTTGTCAGGGGCAACTAGGGATGGCAATATGCACTGGTCCAGCTGTTGATGGCTTTGGGTTCATAGAAGCGGTTTCTAGTCTGTTGCCTGATTAAAAATTGTGTCATTCCTTGTGACACTAATGCTCAGTTAGTTGACTCACATTTATATCACTAGTAAAAGCTACACTTGTAGCATTTAGAGTTCAAAAGCAGTGCTCAAATTCTCACAAGGGCTATAATGCTGAAAATCCAGGATCAGCTCAAATTAAAATTGAGTCCTTTTGGCTTTGCATTTTCATTATGACAATAGCTGTATCAAAATGTTTACCTAGAATATTTCCGACATAGACCATAACAGTAGGTTGACCATTGGCAATTATTAAAGAAATGTTACTAAGCAAAATACTGATGCTGTCAATCTGAAATGATGTAAAAGAACTGTTCCCCTAATAACTAAACGATTAAAATCCTTCAACATCACCTTCCAAATCCACCTCTATGACCTAGGACAAGGACAGCAGATGCATAGGAACACCACCACTTGCAAGTTCCCCTTCAAGCCACACATCATCCGACTTGGAAATGTGTCACCATTCCAAGTATGTTGTTAAAAGTCCTGGAACTTTCTGACTAAATATTGGGTGCACGGACTGCAGTAGTTCAAGGCGGCAAATCATGTCACCTTCACAATGTTAATTACAGAACAGGAAATAATTGACAGCCTAGCCAGTGCAACCCACGTCCCACAAACTAATTTAAAAACTCAGAGCAGCATTTTTGATTTACTGGCAACATTCAAACCTAGCACATGCTGGATAACACAAACTTTACTGTTCATTATCCCACAGTTTAACAAAACTACTAAATTGAGGATAATTATACAACTGCCCTCCTTGTTATAATTTCATTTGTGCCCGAATTGCTTTACAGGAGAAAGACATGACATATGCATCTGAATTCACAGGGCCAAAATGAAAAATTATATTCTACATAATAAATTAACAATTTTTAAAATATATCTGCTTTTCCCTCAGTAATATGTAATTAACACTTTGCACATCTTCCTCTCCATAAATTTGCATTTTAGAAGACAAACCATCATTGCTTTCATTATCATATAATCCACTTACAGAAAAGAAACATGCAAGCTCACCAAATTCTATGAAGGAGTACGGCCTGACAGCAATGTTTATCCTCATCGTGTCATATAATGTTATGAATTCTCGTTGCAATTCATCCAAGAAACAGAAAGCAAGGACATTTGGGTAATTCTCAGAGCAGATCATCATATACCCCAGTCCCAATGAGCTTATAAAACTAAGGAGAAGAACAAAGTTTTAAATGTATCATACATAAAATAATGAAACAATTACTGTAACAAAAACAATTATTGTAACTAGATGGTTCATGAATAACAGTGCAAAAGGTACATTATTAAAATTACTCTATTCTACAATTGAGAATATATTAAATGCACTTGCCTCTATTAAACAGGAAAAATATTAAAAACATTTTTAATCGTATTCCAAATTTGACAGAGTATATGAATTTAGCCACCACTCAGGTTCACAGAATGTGGCAGCACAACAATAGCAGTATTGCATTAACATCAACCAGGTCTCCTGCTCAAATTAGTGTTTGAAGACTCTCCTTCGAGAGTTTTCAAAAGAATTCTATGCTTTATTCAGCTTCTTCACTTTTCTGGCCCTTTTTAAAAAATTATTCATTCATGGGATGAAGGTGTCAATGGATTAAAGGTAAAGTCACCATTCCTCAGGTAAGGGGAGAGGTTGAGAAAGAGAGTCCTTCATTGTAACCTCAGCAGGTGAAGGAACTGAACCAGCTGTCCAGTCAACTGAACTAACCAACTGGATGGGCCAGATTCTAACTGTCCATCCCCAAATGCTCTAGAAGATGCTCTTCTGCAGACCACGTGCTGTAGGTAGGGCCACAGTGCTGTTGGAACTAAGTTCCAGGACTTTCATCCAGCAACAGTGAAGGAATAGCAGTATAATTCCAAGTCAGGCTTCCTTGAGATGGTCATAAAATTTGTGCTTTCCTGGCACTATCTCACCAATGGAAACAAGCTTTTGGCCACTGACCTCATTGTATTGTTTTATACCTTGAAGGCCCTGACAGGTCTTCCTTCAACTTTCCCAGCATTGAAAATCCTTAAACTTTAAATTCCTCTCTTTACAACAGTAATATCCTAGTGAATCTATGATAAGCCAGTTCCAATGCTTTTACATCATTTGCAAACTAGGATTAAACTAGATTCTATTACCTTATATTGTGCCAAGAAAACTGTGTGGAAGCAAACCTCAATATTAAAGTATCATGAAAACTGCAAAACTAATTTTTAAGGTATTTTTCCAAGTTCTGAGCTACATGGTGGATTGCAAAGAAGCTTCAGGCATCAATATGAGAACTAAAGGCTAGTCTTATTGTGCTGTTGGGTTGAAATATTAAAATGAAAATTGACTGACTTATTTATAGCAGAACACATTGTACCAATGGGGACTGGTGAGTAAAGGCTACTACAGCAATTGAAGCAAATTAGTGACCACAGACATCCAAAAACATTAAAATAGACAAAATTACTTTTGGAGAGGAGGGTAAGTGAGGACAAAAAATACCCCTGGCTTGTTAAGAAATACAGCCTCTTCTTTATCCTTATGTCGCTGCATCTTGTTCAGTTAAAGAGAGCAGATAACGTGCTTATATACTTTCATTTACTCTGAGCCAGCTAGTGGGAGATGCAAAACAGTCAACAAGAAAATAAATGTTACCAATTGAAGCTCTCTTCCAATTTGCAAAAAACAAAAGTCATCACTTCCCTGTTAGTGACATGACTGGGGCAGGCTACTGGGCACGCACCTACTACTCTGTCACGAGATGATATTCCAATGTCCTGAGCAATACTGCTGCCCAGTAGTCAAAACAGCAACAAATGAGCTAAACTTCAGAACTGAGAGGATTAACATCAGGGCTGCATTTAACTGAGAATGCATCAACATTCCTTAGCTAAACTGGAGTCAATGTGAATCAGGAGAAAAACTCTCTGCTGGTTGGGGTCACACCTAGCACTAAAAAAACAGTTGTGGATATTTGTAGGTCAATCTCAGCCTTTGGACATCTCTGCAGGAGTTCTTCAGGATGATGTCCTAAGTCCAAGCTGCTTCATCAATGACTTTCCTCCATCATAAACTCAGAAATAGTGACACGCACTAATAAATGAACAATGTTTGGAACCATTTGCGACTCTTCAGATTTTCGGGGGCATTCTGGGACAGCCTGTGTCCATTTATAGCAAAACCTGGACCTTATCTAGGCTTGGGGTGAAAAGTGGCAAATAACATTCATGCCACTCGAGTGTCAGGCAATGACTATCGCCAAATTAAAAGAATCTAGCCATTGTTCCTCAATAATGAAGAGCAAACAATGCAAGACAGTTCTACTAATGCAAGCTAGCTCCTACTTTGGTAGAAAGAACAAATATGCAGAGTAATAAAGTCTTGCTTTAATTGTACAGCAGCTTGGATAACCCACAGCTGGAGCATTGTGAGGAATTTTGGTCTGCTTATCTCAGAAAATATAACACTGTCGTAGACGCAGGTAAGTGCAATAGTTCACCAGATTTGTTCCCAGAATGGGGAAACCGACCTGTGAAGACTGGGCAAACTGGGCCTGTATTCGAGAGTTTTGAAGAAAGAAGTGATGTCATGGAAAAATATTTAAAGGGATAGACAGGGTTTATACAGGTAAAATGTTTCCCCTGGTGCAGGAGTCTCGACCCAGGGGACAGTTTCAAAATAAGGGGATGCCATTTAGGACCAAGATTAGTATTACTTTTTTTTTTACACTGAGGGTGGTGAATCTTTCGAATTCTGTACCTAGAGGGCTGTGGAAGCTCAGTCTTTGAGCATGATGTAGAGATTGATTATTTTTCCATTAATCAATGGCAAAAAGGGTTATGGGGATAATGTGGCTAAAAGGCACTGAAGTGTTTGATCAACCACGATTATGTCAAATGGCAAAGCAGACACAATGGGTTGAATGGCATACTCTGTTCCTAATATCATCACTGAATCACACATGATTGACATCCTGGAGCTACTACTGAGCAGAAATTAAACTGGACCAGCAATACAAATACCGAAGCATGTCAAAGACTAGAATTTTGTAGTGAGTAACTCACCTCCTATCTCCCCACTGCCTATGCACTAACCACAAGGCACAAGTCAGAGGTGTGCTGGAATACTCTCCAGTTACCTGGATAAGCAAAGCTCAAATACACTAAAGATACAGACACGGGTAGGAGAAAGCAAGACTGCTTGATATTTTTTTATTCACTTGTGGGACGTGGACATTGTTGGCTGGCAGGCATTTATTGCCCGTCCCCTAGCTGCCCTTGAACTGACTGGCCTGCTAGGCCACTTCAGAAGGCAATTGAGAGTCAACCACATTGCTTGCGGTCTGGAGTCACATGTAGGTCAGGCCAGGTGAGGATGGCAGATTTCCTTCCCTGAAGGACATTAGTGAGCCAGATGGGATTGTCTTGACAATCTGCAATGGTTTCATAGTCTTCATTCCAGATGTTTTTTATTGAATTCAAATTCCACCTTTTGCTGTGGTGGTGGGATTCGATCCCAGATCCAGAGGACATTAGTCCAGTTTCTGGATTAATAGTCTAGCAATAATACCACCAGGCCATCACCTCCTCACTGGCATCCCATCCAGCAACATTCACTCCCTATACCATCAATGTATGATGGAAACAGTGTGTGCCATCTCCAAGGTGTACTATAGTAAAGCTTTTTTGATAGCACTTTCCAAACCTGCAACCTAACACACCTAGGACAAGGGCAGCAGATTCATGGGAACAGCACTAGCTGCAAGATCCCCTCCAAGCCACACAATCCGGACTTGGAACTGTATTGTCATTCCTCTACTGTTGCTGGGTCAATATCTTGCAATGCTCTTCCTAACCACACTCTGTGTTCCCCAAATCACCAACTTCTCCAAGGTAATTAGGGAAAAGGGCCTAACCAGTGAAGTCCACATCCCATAAACAAATAAGAAAAACTGAATTCCTGTTTGATAAACTCGACATGGTTTTATCAAACTAAGTAGGAGCAAATTACTGCAGATGCTGGAATCTATACTGAAAACAAAAAGTGGAGTGACAGGTCAAGCAGCATCCATAGAGAGAAAGCAAGCTAATGTTGAGTCCAGATGACTCTTCATAAAAGTTCATCAAACTAACCATGGAAACATACATATATTATTTGTTAAAATAATAATGACAATTTCAAAAGCTTTAAAAACACAATCCTTACTTTCATTCTGATGTTATCTTAGGATGTCGAAAAATACTTTATTCATTGCATGCAAGAGTGACTGTCTAGGTCAGCATTTATTGCCCATTCCTAATCCCTTGAACTGAGTGGCTTCCTCAGCATTTCAGAGGACAGCTAAGCGTCAACAACATTGCTGTGGATCTGGAGTCATCTGTAGGCCAGGCCAAATAATGAATGGCAGATGTCCTTCCCCAAAAAGACAGCAAGTAATCTGATGGATTGCTAATGAGAATCAACAATGATTGCACAGTCACCATTAGGCTAGCTTTCAATTCCAGATTTTTAAAAATTGAATTTAAATTTCATCATCTGGTATGGTGGGATTTGAATCCATGTCACTAGATAAGTATCCTGGGGTTCTCGATTCCTAGGCCAGTGACATAATAGGGGTAAAATCAGGTCTGGGTAGCACAGTGTATTATCAGACTGTCTTTTCTCCTCTACAGTCTGGCCTCAAATTTGGCCAAACATGGAACAAAAGCCTTATTTGCTCACATGAAAGGGAGCGACAACCATTTCTAAGTTAGCATAGGTTCAGAGCAGAGAAATGGGTTATAATGAGGCACAATTTGGTCATCTTATTTACAGATGCCATTCCAACGGCTCAGTAGGAGCAAGTAATTTGCTGAAATACGTATGTTTTTTAAAGTATGGTGCCCTAAATTGAACACAATGCTTCAACTGAGGCACGAGGACAGCCTTATGAAGATTTTGCTCTTTGCACCCTATATCTATTAAAGTCAAGGAATCCATCACAACTTCTAACACCTTGAAAACGATTGTGCACATACACCTTCATGTCTGTCTGCTTCTGCACCCACTTTGAAATTGCCTTTGTATTGTCTCCCTCAGGTTTCATGCCAGTATGTAATGTTTTATACTGCTGCCACATCACATCCAATTTCACTGATCTATGTTCTACTAAAATCTGTTATTGCTCTCCTTGATGTTTACCAA